AAAACAAGACCGATCCCTTCTGCAAGTAAGATGCTCACGTTTAAAGGGCTCAAAGATTCTCGCAAAACAGGCTCCCTTTTCTTTGTGAAAGAATTCCCTCTAAAGTAATAAAACTGTAATTTCCCCCCTAAAGTAATAAAACTGTAATTTTCCCTCTAAAGTAATACAACTGTAATTTTCCAGTTTCTCTAAGTTTGATTTTAATAGTGTCCATTACAGTTTCTATTTATGATGTCTTTTCGAGTTTTGTCTTTCAAAAATGATTTATTCTGCTTTTTTCGTTGTTTTTTGGGGGGGGTTTTTGCTTTTTTGTTTACTCATGTTTGTATTGTTCCCTGTTACACATGGTCGTTGTTAAGCACAAGGGGGCTATTCCGAAAATGCTGTTTCGAAAAAAATGGAAGGAAAAGTATTTGGCCCTTGTTCAGTTTCTTTAAAAGACAAGGAGAGTTTTCTCTATAACCAAATAAATATACACACAAATAAAACCATACGTCTCCGATGGGTAGTGCATTGCCCACTTTTGGTTTAGATCAAGATTTCTGGAAACCCCCGACAGGCTTTGAGGTGATACCAATAGCTCCATATGCCCAAAAACTGACGAGCCTCTGGTTCAACAACGTTGTGACTCAAACTATGAAAGGACCACGGACAATTATTCCAGGAAACAGTTTGTGTAAAAACATAACACAGTGTGAAGCCATCACATTAGTATTTATTGTGTTTTGGCAAGAATGTACGCATGCGTAATATAATATATAGATCTATATACATACAATAAATATAGTCCAAACGTAGAAAACAGAAAGAAAGAACAAATAGACCAAGAGATCAACGATACTAAACAAAATAGTATCTGATCCTACTAGCCTATAGTATTATTTTCTACTTCTTTATATCAATTTTTCGTCCTTCATTACCATGTCTTTTGAATACCCCCCTCTTTTCTCTCTCTCTCTCTCTCTCTCTCTCTCTCTCTCTCTCTCTCTCTCTCTCATTCACTCTGCCCCCTCTCTCTTTACTTGCTTCTATTTTTTTCTCTCAGTGTGTCTGCCACACAGAATCATACAAAATCCCTTTCTCCATTTTTCTCTGTCTCTTTCATTATGTCTCTCTG